AAGCAACCTTGACTTCGGCTAAATTTTCATAAAAAAAAACAGCGAGCAGATATCGTATATAGCAATTTATAAATATAATAATTTAAAGATGCCAAAATTGTGCAGCATATTTTTAGGAGTAGATACTGAGAGCAATTTATATGCATAACAAAAATGATATTTATGTAAATGATACTTGTTTATTTCTTTGAAAATAATGCTTTAACAACTGGCCCCAAGTCACCCAAATGTTGTGTATAAGCTTGAACAGCTTTATTTGTAAAGATGCTCAACCCTTTTAAGTCTCATTCAGTGTTTAGTCAAACTCAATTAGAGAGAATCAAAAACATTTAATTGCCCGGCAAATCGGATTATCAGCTAATAGTGAGTAAATCTTTTGATTTCCTTTCGCACTTGAAACAAAGCCGAATATTTGCCAATTAAAAGCAATTAAGGAAATAAATTTACTTTAATATTACCGAAAATGTGAGGAACTATTATTATTATTAGCAGTTATTAGAGGCCATCATTAAAAGACGCTCACTTGACAAAGTTCAATGTTCTCGAGAAGCAACACAATTGCCTTAACGCAAATACTCTAGAATTAAGAAAAGAGCTCAGCCATAAAGAATAGCTCGTTTGCCATTCACAGTTGCGGGCTTCCGTAAGAATCTACGAGGCAGCTGCACGCAACACCGAGCACATTGCCCAACCCAAATAACTTGGCTAAGAGAGCAGCGATATTTGGGAACTCAACTCGAAATGGAAGTTCTGTATCTGTGTGTCTCAAATTTGTGTGTAAAGTCTAATTAATTTCTTATCGCACCTGAAGCTACTGTGCTACCTTCTGATGGGAGAGCTAATGGTATTGAGTGCGCCAAAAGTGACTCAATCAATGAGCTAAGTATCCTTTGCCTGTTGACCTATAAATAGTGAAGGAAACTACGTCTAAGGCTGTGTGTGTGTGTGTGTGTGTGGGGCCAGCTATGTGAGCTACTCGTGTGTCAGGCCCTACACCTGAGCAGCTGCCTGTTACCGAGCTGTTGGATCTGGAACTGAAGCCCTTGTGTGCAGCTCAAGAATGTGACAGACAATTGGACAGAGCTGCATCAGATGCTCGTCTATGCATATAAATACTAAAGAACCAATGTCGACTGCTTTCTCAAGATCAAGAACTGGACGTCGGGTGTAGCATTCCATAACTTTATTTAAGTTGTGGCACTCATAAATTGCCGACTCACTCTTTGTCATTATTTTTATCGCTTGCATATTGTTATGACATTCAAAACATTCGTTTAACTTCTTTATGTGTTGCAGCTCTTCTGTTTTCCTCTCTCTCTCTCTCTCTTTCTCTTATTCAGCTTCTCATCGTTTCACTCTTGTTCGCCTCCCGCATGGCTTGCATCTGACTTTTCATTGATAAAGTTATCAGCCGCTGGCTATGGGTTTACGGTTCCGTTCCGTTCAGTTTCATTCTCTTTGCATTTGTGTTTTCCTCTTTTGCTTGCTTTGCCGCTTTGTGGTCGGGCTCACACAGCGTTTCCTTTATCAACTGAGCCACGGCAACCAGAAGTATCTTTTGAGAGCAGTTTTTATCTGTATCTGCCTTTTGTCGTCATCGTCGGCCAGCAACAACAACAACACACGAGTCTAGCTGATTGCACTCCGGAGACGTTTTCCTTCATAATTGGTACAAATTTTGTTAGCTCTTTGAAATCGAACCAGAGAAATTTCTCAGGCTCAAGTCAAAGATTGTCAAATCAAATTTTGCCATTTGCATAGTCTACCAAGATGGGTCAACTAATGTAATCGATTTACGACTGCCTACAAATACAAACACACATACATATACGTATATGTATATATGTATGTCTGAACCTGTACTGTGTGAACGGAAAGCTTATATTATTGTTGTGCAATGTTCGTCAATTCTTGAAGTTTTATACACTTCGATATCCTCGTCTGTTTATCGTGAATATATATATTTCTTATAACACAAAGCTACATAAATGCATTTTGAAATATGAAATATAAATATAAAATTAATAAAAGTTAAATTTAAATATAAATATAATTATTAATTATATAAATTATAATTAAAAATTATATTATTAATTATATTAATTGTAATTATGATATACATAATTATATGACTTCAATCAGCAAAAATACATAAAGCTAAATAAATTATAAATTTATAAAAAATTTATTTAAATTATAAATATATTTATTTTAAATTTTTATGTAAACATTTAATTTTTTAGATTTAAATTTAATTTCAATGAATATATTCATATTTCCAAAAACATGTAAAGCTACATAAATGGGCTAAATAAAAATGATAAATTTAATAAAAATTGGATTTAAATATAAATATAAGTTTATATAAATTAACAATAATTTAAGTAATAATAAAAATAAATCTACTAAAATTATGTTAACATTTAGATTTATATATTATTTTAGGTTTATATACATATGTATATAAATACACTTAAAAGAGGATTTATAAATTATTTAAAAATAAAATTTAAATTACTGTGTATATTTATATAATTTAAATTGGCAATAACACGTAACCACTAAATGTTCTTGCAGATACTAAATGTTAAATATTAATTTAATAAAAATTATTTTGATATATAAACATAAATATGAATTAAAATAGAATTGAAATTATTATATATTTATAAAATTTTAATAGGCAAACACGCTAAAGCTCTATCACAGTTTTCAATATGGTATCACAATGTTTTTCAGGCAAATCAAGGTTGAACTGCTTTAAAAATAACTTTATCAATAATATGGCCCGTTCATTAGAACGTGACATCAAAAGACATACATACGACATATATACACACATACAAATGCATTTGGCCATGAAATGCAGTCGATTGCGCTCAACTGCAAGTGCAGCATTCTTATTAGAAGCTCTATAAATGCATAAAATGCATTCAATTTAAATTAAATCTTACATAAATTAAATCATTTACGCTCAGCCATGCAACATATTATAATTATATTCTTATGATATTATAATTTAATCCATGAATTTATTATTTTTCACAGTAAATGGAATTTAATTTTCACCTACTTTTTATACCCTGAACCCATTGAAAATGGGAAATCAGGGTATAATGGTTTTGTGAAAAAGTATGTAACGGGCAGAAGGAGGCGTGGCAGACCCCACAAAGTATATATATTCTTGATCAGCGCGATGAGCTGAGTCGATATAGCCCTGTCCGTCTGTCCGTCCGTCCGTCCGTCCGTCCGTCCGTCCGTCCGTCCGTCCGTCCGTCCGTCCGTCCGTCCGTCCGTCCGTCCGTATGAGTGCGTCGATCTCAGAAGTTATAAGAGCTAGAGAGCTGAAATTTGGCATGCATACTCGTGTGTACCATACGCAGTACGAGTTTGCTTTATTTTTTCGATAAATCATCCGATAACTTTTTTATCGAGAATAATCGAAAAATTGATTTTGTTTTTTTAGCCTAATTTGAACACTTTTAGACCTGGAGTCTTCAAATTTGCGTTGTATATAAAGTTAATGGACACAAAGATTTTGTAATTTACAGATTTTGGATACCACGCCCCCTTCGCCCCCAATTTGTAAAAAACGCATTTCAAGTACTAGAGACTTGTGCTTTAAAATGTACACACATATTCACCATATGAATACGCTCTGAAAGTTTTATTAAGATCCTATGTCTACAAAAGAAATTATTCAACAAATAAATTCTCATAATATTGCCCACACTGCAGCGCAGCCCAAGCGCAGTCGCTGCTTACTGCGCAGTTAGCAGAGCGCAGGCTTATGCGTGCGTGTGAATGCATGTGTATGTATGTGTGCATAAAAGAAGTGCAGAATGATTAGAATATCAGCTTAGAGGGTTCAGGGTATCTCCTAGTCGAGCAGTCTCGACTGGAGCCTTCTTACTTGTTTTTTTTTTTTTTTTTGGACTGACCCAATTAAATACGATTTTAATAAATTCACAAATGAGCTTAACAAATTGCGCATGTTGAGACTAAGCCTCAATATTTGCTGCAATAAATGTCAATAGGAAGGAAAACAACGTATTTAATCAGTTGCAAAGTATTTAAATTGTATGAAATGAATCAATGGCTCGAGATTAAAATACTACGTCACACTTGTCGCTTATCGCTGACATTTTTATTTGATTATTTTCATTTCATAAATATATTTTTTGTTGTCGACGAGAAACTTTGTGTTAAAGGGTCAATTAAGTCTTAGTGCGCTGTCAATGGAAGTTTCGTTTAATTTATGCCGACACACATAATTGGAAATTTATTACAAAGTGATGTCAACACCAACTCGACAATGTAAATGAAAGAGAGAGAGAGAGAGAGAGAGCACGTCAGAGAAAGAGAGAGAGATTAAGGGAATTAGAAATATCGCAGCATTTAAGTCCAATTTAATGGGCCCTGAAATGAGGCAACTTGTCTGTCGCTACGCGGCTTATCGACTTCTAATTAAAACATTTTCATATTTTATGGCCAAAGTTAGTGCTGAGCGCGTTTTTCTAAACTCGGAACCTGTTTCGGCTTCTGCAAAGGTTCTGAAGATCTTTGTGCAAATTTAATTAGCTAGATTTCCATCCGATCCGAGTTGAGCAAATACTTCAAACACCTTCGACAAGTGGGAGCCGGGCGAACCGGTTCTAGTTTGTTTAAATGATGGGAAAACATCTAGCTAGCATCGAGGCGTATAGCACCTCACCTTATCGGCATTATCTACAATTATTTTGACTGTTTGTTTGGCAAATAAATCAACAAACACACACACGCGCACCTGAGTTTATGTGTGCGCATGTTATGTGTGTTTTTTTTTTTTCCTAATATTTTTTTTTTTCACATTTTATTATTATTTTTGTAGTGTGTTTTGTGACTTGTTTACTGCGCACATTTGCGGCTTGAACTTGGCATTGTTTGCACTGGGTCGCCATTCATTCAGAAACGGATCTTCGGATGTTCACTGTGCCGAAACTTGTTGACACGGTTTCCCAATACTAATTGTTTGCATTCGGCTTTACGTGTATTCGATTTTTTCTTATTTTTGTTATCTCTGATGCTTTGCATATGATTTTTTCTCTCTCTCTCTCTTGTTTGCCCTAGAGATCAGCGTTTGCATTAATGCCGCGCACGATTTTGTGGCTTGAATGGAGAGTTTGTTCTTCCGATTTGCCGAATTGAGTTTTATTTTTATAAACTTCAACTAAACTGAAATGTAAACAAATCACCAATATGAACAGCAAACACTGAATATTATTCAATCTAGGCCTTGAACTCGTATCTTACTACAAAAATCTATTGGAAATATGAGTAGTAGGCCTTCAGGTGTTAAACAGCAGAGAATAAAAGTTTTTGCCTCTCTTTATTTCACTTCAGTTAGCAACAGAGAGCTGGCTTGCTGCTTGATTAATATGGGCGTAGCTATGGCTGATAATCAGGTTGAGTTTGGATAACAGCAAGACGATTTTGGCCTGGCTAAGGCTGAATGCGCATTAATCAAAATTGCTTACAAGAAATGCCTTTAACCAATTTTAGCAACAAATATTTGCTCAGCCAAAATTATGTGATATATATGCCAAACGTCTAAATCTCTTTACCCGTGTTCAATAGAACTGTTGGCTTAATAAAGAGACACACAGAAAAACTGTCACAGCTGCCGGCTGCCTGAGAATCTGCCAAAACACTTCCGTGTCTCAGAATGTTTCAATTACGTCTTGGATTTGGGTTTGGGTTCGGGTTTGGTTTACATACACGTTTAGGTTTACTTCCGTGTAACCCACATATCATCTATCAACTATCTACTTAGCCCAACAGTTTCTCACATAATTCATGCCGCATACGGGCTGGCAATCTCGGCCCAAAGGCACACACACACACACAGACACACACAGCAATCGAGAGACGTGTTCATCAATGAGAAGTATGTCTGTCTGTCGGGCCAGGTCTCCGTTTTCCCAAGCCTTTTGTCTCCCATTGGCTGCCTGCGCAAAATTACTTCCGTTTTGTTGCAACTGCAAAGTGTCATTGTTGCAGCATGTGTGGCAGCCTTCGGGCCGGCATTCGCATTGGCATCTCTTGCCAAAAGGGCGAAAGGCAAATTGTATGCAATATTGCGCTTTTTTCTCTGCTCAGGCTGCCGTTTCCTGGGCCTTCACTTTGCTTGCCTTTTGTTTACCATTTTGCGCTGCCAACCTGTTAGCCAACAATGCCAGCTCATCTGGTAATTTGAGCACGTAAACTGAGACATTAATGCAGCATATGAACGAATATCGCTTACTTTACTCCCATTCATGCATCCCTCTTGATATTTCTTCTTTTTTTTTGACAGTTTCATGTGAACAGACTCACATGTTGTTATGTAAGTACATAGATTTTGTTTTTCGTTAGATTGTTATTGCAAAACACCTACGATTCGCACAATAGCTGACGTATGCCATCTCATCTGACAGCTATTTGTATTTTCCTATGAAATATCTACGGATTTATATACACATGTGGCATGCATGCAAATCTCATTTGGATCTCTCAGAATTGACGGATGGCGAAACTGTAGACACATATGGTATAATAAATGCAGATAAGTTGTTGGCTCCAACAGCTTAGATGCTTACATATATTATCCATTAGCCGGATATATCTTAACCCTTTGCAGCTTTCGTGTGCCGTCAACACCTCAGCCAGCTGCGCTGCTCAGCCCATTAGGCACATTACGAATTCAGCATTTGAGATATTCCTTTCAATAGATAGCACTCGCAGCAACAACTTGTGGGCACGCCCCTTTTTCGCCCAGACAACTGCAATTGTCGATACTCGACTTCGAGCTGCAAACGAAGCGTGGCCCGAGTTTTGCATCAGTTTCAAGTCTTGCGGCACGCAAAGGCTCCGACAGCCCGAGACGGCGACCTGCGGCCAGGTGAGTTAATATTTCTAATTGAAAAAGGCAATTTGTATGCGGCGAGCCAATCGCTGAGAGACGGGCGAGAAACTTTGACAGACAAAAGCACTCAATATAATTAAATTGTAGACGGCACAGACCGCAACCCACTGCCAACATCATCATTGTCATCATCATCATCATCATGGCCATCATCATCATCTGCGTAACTGATTTCAGTGTCAGTTTTAAAATGCGTCCGTTCTTTAGCAGACGGCGCTTCTTCCTCAGCGGCAAGAATAAAATTAGCATTTTCAATCCGTGCAGCAGTTGCTCGCAAATATGCTGCTCCCTGCTCTACAAGCTATCCGTTCTCCTGCTGCTCTGCGTGCTGGCGCTGCTGCTGCTGCCAAACAATATTCAGCTCAAGACGGCGGAGCCTCTGCCAGCAGCAGCGCGCATCTTTTGCATCATCTCCACCCAGGACACTCGGCACAATTCCGTGGCCGTGCACGTGAAGCGCAGTTGGGCCAGCCGCTGTGATCAGCACATCTTTGTCAGCAACGATGCCCACGAGGAGCTGGAGCCGGCCATTTTCGCTCCGTTGCATGACAAGTGGCTGAAGATGCGAGCGCACCTGGAGTACGTCTACAAATATCACTTCGATGAGGGCGACTGGTTTCTCTATATCAACGACGATAAGTATGAAATGATTCGGAACTCGAAGTGCTTAGCTAACATTTACCTATGGCAGCTATGTGATTGTGGAGAACCTGCGCTACATGCTGCGCTCCCACAGCCCCGATGAGCTCATCTACTTCGGCTGCAAGCTGCGAAGTGCGAACAATCAGGTAGAGCTGACAGGAGTACGAGTTTAATATATAATAAAAAATGATCTCTATATGCATATCTAGCCCTACATGTATGATCGCTCAGGCATTGTCTTGAGCAGCGCCACCCTCGCTCAGTTCGTACTCCGCGCTTTGCCGAATGAGACGATCTGCAGTTCCGGGAAGCAGGGCGATGCTGCATTTGAGGAGTTCGCTCGATGTCTCGGCAATGTCAATGTGCTGCCCGGCGACAGCCGAGATCATTTGGGCTATCATCGTTTTCTGCCATTTCACATGAAAGATTATTTCATTGGTGCGTTGAATTATTCGCTGCCGCACCACAAATACTTCCTGGATCGATCATATTATGGGCTAAGCAATGTGAGTTTAGTAATCTATAATATTTATTATTCATTTCATTCAATTTTATTTTATTTTTTTTTTCAGTTCAAAGTGCCCATTTCAAAACAATTGATTTGTGCCAAGCTGGAATATATGCCAATCATATACAGTCATTATTATTTAACGTATCAGGTGAAAATATTCGGCACGCCCCAAAGGGCGATAGTAATTGAAAACTCCAATACGAATTAAACAATTTTATTTGATGAATAAATATTAAATTTATTCTTAGATATACGTAAAAAAAAAAAACACAAGTGATTTTACATTTTGATAAAATCTAGACTTTAGGGTCTCTGAGATCATGATGCGGAATACAGACAAATAAAGAGAATATTTACACATTAAAAAAAAACAGTATAAACATTTTCAAAGGTAACATAAACTTTTCTTAATGAAATGTATTAAATAATTTCAACACTATTAGCTTAGCTGGCTCTTCCATTAACCCTTTTCTGACTTTTGCTGACTTTACTAAGCCACCTTCAGCCAAAAGTCTCCCAGCAATCGCTCATTAGCATAGCCAAACTTCCAGCGCTGCCTTTGGCTCTGAGTATCACAGACATCGGCGATCACAGTTTTTGTTTCCAGTTGAGCCTCGAGGCAAAGTCTGTGCGCTCTGCTCTGGCCATGGACAATCTGATTGGTATTCAAGTCATAGGACCAAAATTGATTGCCCGCATGATGATGGCATTGCCACAGCCAAATCTCTGCTTTCGGCTTTTCCTGCTGCAGCTCCAGGCAATGGGAGTTCGAGTGGAGATCGCGAAAGTGACTCAAGACCCACTTCTGCTGCAACTTGGGATACATGAGATCCTCATCACAGGGCAGCAGTTGCGGGTGCTTTGCAGACTCGGCTCTCTCCAGGCAGAGCGAGGGTGCCGCTAGGCTCTGGAGAGCGCCAAAGGCATAGTCCAGGGGCTCGTCTATGGGATACTGCTCCAAGAAATCCCCAGCCAAATGATCCAGAAACCATTTGAAGGGCTTGCAGCGCAGACGTTGACGCAGCTCCTTTTGTTTCTTCAGTGAACCCACCTTGACGTGGGTCAAGTGGGGCATGTTTGCATAGAGCTTGTCCTTGTACTCGTCCAGCCACACCTCAGCCACGCGCCTGTAGTTCTGTCAGCAGGAACAGCTCGGATAGACACATGCTTTATCAATTAGGTCTAAGCTACTCACCCTAGCTATGGCCTTGCTCTCCGCCTTCTTATACTGCGGATGGAAGTTGCTGTTTCTGAACAGATGCCCCACTCTGGAGCAGGGCACCTCCAGCAGTCGGCCGCCGCACAGCCATATCTTGATGCTCAGCTCGAACTGCTCGCCGCCCCAAATGCGCAGCCCCTCATCGTAGCCGCCCAGCTCGAAGAACCAACTGCGGTATATGGCAAAGAGACCCCCATTCATGATGGGGTTCTCATGTGGCGCCGGCAGCGCCAGCTCCTCCTGCTTCAGTAAGGGCAACTGGATGTAGTTAAAATCCCAGTCGAAGAAGCCACGCGATGGCCTGCCACGCCTATAGGCGAACGTTTCATAGTCAATGGTATCCACCACGGGCGTGGTGCAGGTCCTGTTGCTCTCCAGCATGGGCGCCAGCAGTGGCTCCAGCCAGCCCCGCGTGACCTCGATGTGCGCATCAAGGAAGACAAGCACTTCGGCCTGAGCCTTTTGAGCACCCGCCAGTCGTGCCTGCATCAGGCCCAGCTGCTTGGGCAGGCGCTGCTGCTGCACCAGCCCCTCGAAACCTGCGTCCACAGCGAACTCCTGCTCGCTGCCATCGTCCACCAGAATGATCTCTCGCAGCAATCTCGGCGATGTTCTACTCCTCAGACTGCTCAGCGTTCGGAGCAGCACACTGGGCTGCTCATTGTGGTGGGTGATGATTACACTGATCGCTGGCAGATTTTCCACTGGGTACTTGAGCTTTTTGCAGCTGTTAACAGTTATCGCAGCTCGTGAGAGTCAACTCTTATACAGTAGCACGTCGCCCGCTCTCTCGCTACTCACCTACGATGGCGCATATCGAAAAGCTTACGCTCCGGCGATATGCGCTCCGAGAGCCAAGCATTATAACCCGTTTCACGCTGGCTGCTCTCCATGGCCAAGCGCTGCTCAGCGGTCCAGTTGCTCTCCGCTGGCCGACCCAGTGCGCCCAGACCGGCCAACACCAGCTCTGAAGACTTCGACTTGCCAGCCAGCTGATCAAGTTGTGTTGATGTCACTTTTGTTGTTGTTGTTGTTGTTGTCGTCTTCAGGTTTGTTGTCTTTGTTGTTTCCTCTGGCTTTGTCTCCATAATGTATAAATAGAAAATAATATTACACGTTACAGCAAACAGCAATAGGATTAATATTGTCTTCTTATGCCTTAATAAAATCTCGCAGCTAAACATCGTTTAAAAATAAAACAAACTGACACAAAAGACGAGCTTAAGCCGCACACGTTTTGACCAAGACTGAGTGGTTGAACCAAGTCTAAGAGCAGCGCAAAAGACTTATACGTGTCCAATATGATCTTATACGCCGAGAAAGTTTATATGCTGCAGCTAATATTGTCGTATAAGTGTTAGCCAGAGACAAGAAAGCGAAAGAGCTTGGAAATATTTTCAAACCTATTTCATTTTAAATTATAATATATTTTTATTATATTATAATAAATTTAGAAGTATTTATGTAGTTCATTATAAAAAAAAAATAAATAAATAAAAAACAAAAAACATTTATTTTATAACAATTTTTATTTTAATTTATTTTATTTTTGTAACTAGCTCATTCGGTTTGAGTTCATTAAAAATGTATAAATTTAATTATTAAAAAAAATCCATATAAAATAATTATTAAATAAAAATATAAAAGATAAGGAAATTTGTTTTCAAAATTAAGCTTGTTTTATATTAAATATAATTTTCAAAGCCAAAATAATTTTATTTTTTTATTACATATATATTTTTGCTTTACATATAACCTTTAATTTTTTTTATTGTATATACATATATATTTGTTATAATAATATGAAATTCTTTCTTTTTTAGCTATTTCTATTTTATAAACAAATTAATTTAAAATCTAAAAATTCTTTATTTTGTCTTCATTCGGCAGAATCATTAGTTAATTTTTGCTATATTTCACTGTAGTTCAGATTTATATTATCAAATCCAAAACATTGCATTTCCAGTAAACTATCCCAAATAAATAACGGCACACTTCCACTTCCCTTATTCAATATATATATAAAGAAATGTCTATGCCTGCTTTTACCCGCCCCGCCGCATGCCAAAACATGCAAAACTTAACCCAACAGCTGCAACAGAATCCGAAACCAAATTCGAATTTGAATTTGCATTTGGTGGAAAATACTTAAATAATCAGTTGCAACCCCTCAGGCCTGGGTGGTGGACTCATTAATTTACGTAAAATCCACTTAACTTTTTGTCGAGGCTTGGCTTTGGCAGTGAGGCTGGGGCAATAAATTCCACAACTTTGCGCCTCATCAAACGAAATGAATGTTAAAATCTACCACGAGTAAAAGTCAGACAATAGAATAGATAGCAATCTACATGAAGTACGAGATGGCGACGTGGCGACGCCAGCAGCAATTTTAGAACATGTGGTGTTATGATGAGACGAGAGACCAATCCACCCAACCACCCAGCCACCCACCACCGGGCGCATTGTAGCCACCCCAAAATTCTTAAGCTCGGACTTTAACTGACAAAGGGTAGCTGCAGCCAATAGCAAAGCAATTTTTTTCCGGGCAGCTTTACGGAAAATTCCCTTAAAGCCGAACCCGGTACGGCCCGGTAGAGCTCGGGTACGTGCCGGCAGAGGCCGAGTCTCATGCCAATGCACCGCATAATTTTAGGCAATTGTCAAACAAAACGAAGGGTGGCAGGCGGATAAATTAGATTTTTACTTGCGCACAATTGCATAAAGCCGAATAATCCTCAGAGGACCCAACAGCGCCCGCTCGTAAATATTCATTGCATACGCACGGCCGTTCGAGCTTTAAGTTCTATCACTCACCTCACGCTTCAGTCCCCAATCGACAAACGGCAAACGGGAGACGGGAAACGGGGCTTTCACTGGAGAAGTTTTTTCAAGGTCTATGCCAAATTTTGGGGCGGCAGCAATTACATTTGGCCACCCACCCGATGTCCTTGGCGGTGGCCGGGGCTGGCTGTGTGCGTGCGACCTCCCCAAATAGTCGCCTTGATGGCCCGGCTTTATACTCCAAGGGTGTCGAACTATAAATTATACCTTTTGTTGCAGTTTCTGCCCGAATAACCGAGGGGGCCGCAACCCCCGCTAAACAGGGGTCTGTCATGTCTTTAATAAATGTTTGAATGTTTCGTTGCGAGATTAAGTGGATTTCTTTTATAGCATGAGTAATGATCGATGCATAATGCGCTCGGATGTGTCAGGTGTACGGGGCGGGGCAGCGCTGCTATTGCAATTTGAGCCCAAGGAAATCATCTTAATGCGAATCTCTCCCATCTTGAGATACTGTGATGAATCAGTAGAAGTCTGCAAGAAATTGAACAGAACCAAAGCTTTACAGAGACCTGAACAGATCTGCTGTTCCTCTGGGTTGTCCACTATTAATGCTCTCGGTTTATCAGAGGCAGCCCAATTACCATAATAGAAAAGTACTTTATGGCAGCAATAAATGAAAAATCTGAAATATATGTATAGTATATGCGAAACTATGGAGAGCTGTTGAAAATTGCTCGTTAGGTGCCATAAAACAATGAGGAGACTGAGAGGCTGGGATGAATGGCAAACATCGCAGACATAAGTTGAGCATTTTGCTGTTCAGAGTGGACAGCTCAAAGCGCCCACAATAAATTTCACTTATCAAAGTTTTCGCTGGCGCAGACAAAAAAAAAAAAAAAAAAAAAAAAAATGAATCGTAGAAGACGAAACGAAACTCTGGAGTGAAGGACAAACTTTATGGCAGAGATACTCGAAGCGGGCAAAAGCAAACTAAGGGAAAATTAAATGTCTTTTGTCAACAGCCGTTCCAGTGAAGATGCTGATGGGAGTAGTGCACAAAAAACAAGCAGGAATAGTCGGCTCGCCGAGTCCGGCGCTTCAACAATGACGCACTTTTTGGGTGGCCAGAAGTTTGCCCACTTTGATATGCATTAAAAAAGAATTGGCCAAGCAGACGTCGCAGCAGCAACATCACGACAAACTGAACAACTGACGAACTCCGATGGTCCAATGGAGCGCAGCGC